CAACTCGATCGGAACCGCCAAATACAAAGACCAACGACAAAAGAAAAGCGTCAAAGCAAAGTCAAACAAAAAAAAAATGAAAAGGAAGAATGCCATACCAGTAACAGAGAAGACAGAGGAAGCAAAAATTATAAATGAAGAACAGAAACCTCAAGAAAGCGGAGCTCCGTTTAGGGTTTTGAGGGGAGAATTTTGGGGAAGAAGAAGAGCATAATGGTTGTTCTTCTGTACTGCCTGTAGTGGCTTCAAGGTAGACGAAGCGCGCGCGAGGGAAAGGAAAACAGTCTTTATTTTGGAAGGAAACACTTAAATAGCCTTTTTCGATTTTATATTTTCTCCAACGCTGTGCGATGGAGGAGGAATACGTTACTGCCACAATTAAATTATTGATTAAATCGAGTAGAAAGGTCCATATATACTCAAGTCAATTGGGCCTACGGCCCACATAAGCCCAGGTTGAAAGCCCACACCATACCTATGAAAAAATTATATCCATAAAAATATATTTTATTTATATACTCGTGATTTTCAATTTAATTATACAATTTAGATAGTCCTATTGAACAATTCATCTCTACACTTATTTCTTAATTGTGGTAAAGTAAGAGATAATTATTATTATTTGATGAAATAAATAAATAAATAAAATGTTTATTTTTTCGAAATTCAAGGGTGGGAGGGGGCACAAAAGGTAAGTGCTGCCCACTTGGAAGGCTTGGTTTAGGCTTTATTTTAGTGACGTGTCAACTGGCCATTGGAGGGCACCTTCCTAACCACTTGTTTAGGTGTCAGCCCACTAGCGAGCACGTGGCCCCATTAGCAACAGATAAAAATATATATATTGAAAATCAAAACTATAGGCTAATAATTGAATTAATTTAAATTATTAACTTTTTAAAAGTAATTTTCAAAAGTAAAACGAACAAAATTCTACCATGGTTACACGTAAATTAATTTAAACCATTTATTGGTACTATCTTTGAGAACCGTCTATATATGACTTACTTAAATACAAAATTAATAAAAGGGTTGGTTTTCAAATAAAATCCCGTTAAACTTTTAAATTGATATAATATATATATATATATATTTTAATAAAATTTAAAATTGATATAATTCAAAGAGTAAGAATATAATTAAAACAATAATCATATGATACAACTAATCTCATCATTAAAGGCAAAACATGATACAGCAAACCCCACCATAGAAAAAAAAAAGTATTTTCTACACATTATTTCCTAAATAAACAAATTAAATTGCTATTATCTAATATTATAATTAATAGTCAAGTTTATCATTTATTGTTTTATTTATAAGCCCAACCTTCAATAGTTATTAAGTCATATTCAATAAATTATTAGATAATAATTGAACTATATTTATTAAAAAAATAATTCACAATAATACACATACAAAACTAAATATTTTTTTTATAGATAATTAATAGAAATTAATGGTTTAGGTAAATACTATATTACACTAAAATATAAAAAATAATTAGCTAAAGTTGTTTATAAATACTTTTTCGCTATATTTATCATTTTTTAATATTATTTTTTAAAAATCATAATAAAACGTGGAAATTGAATAAAATATTTTCATATAATTCGACTAATTTTAAAAAAGATAATTATAATTGAAAGTTGGAAGGTAACGTGCATAAATTAAAATAAAAAAGAAATCAACTTTAATAATTTGATACGTTAATATTCGACATGTATAATCAGTATACTTTCAAGGTCGAAGGAGGATCAAACCATATTAAACATAATTATTGAACTTATAATATTAATGACTCTTAAATTATTATTGGTTATTCAAAATTTAATCACTAATCAGATTTAATATTAATAATATTCTCATAAAATTTAAATATCAAACAATTTACGTATGAAATTCATCCTTAAAATCAGTTATAAACGCTAGATATTCTCAATAGTTAAAAAACTAGAGTCAGGTAAATTGTATTGTAACCGTATTTTGATTTGACAAAAAAAGAGGTCAACCCGAACTAAATTCTTAGATTTTAAAAAATTTAACTTAATCTAAACAGAAAAAATAAAATCTAACCTCACTCAACTTTTACGGTTTTGAATTGAATACGTACAATTTTTTTAATTCTATTAATTTTAATAATATAATGTATGATTAAATTCAGTTTCTACTTATTATTATTATTTAATATATATATATATATATTTTTTAATTACTATTTAAAATGAATATCGATAGTTAAAGTGCGCATTAAAACTGCATAGCTATGATCGGATAAGAGGGGGGAAAGGGAACGATGGAGGGCATTCTGGTACTTTCCGGGATTACTTCGTGTAGCTCTTATCCAAAATAAATGATAATAATAATAATAAACCAAAGCAAGAAAACGGACCCAAGCGAATCTCGCAGAGCAGAGAGAGGAGGAGGAAGAAGAAGAAGGAAGACTGAATCGGGAAACCGTTAGAGGAAAGAGCAAGAGATCTCTCTCACAGAGATGGAGCGCCGGCAGCGGCGGTAACAGTTCTTTCAGTGGAGGTGGTAGCTTAAATAATCAAGAACCTGCGAAGACTCCTCTGCATTTTGTCTCCTATCTTCGAAAACCTCTTGCAACATCCTCTTGATTTGGTTTCCTTTTTACCTAAACATTCCGTCCTCTTCATTATTCATCCATGCGGCGAGGTAGAGATATGGATCCGTTGATGGCGGCAGAGACGGTCCAAGAACCTGATAAAGAAGTGCGATTCAGAGGCGTCCGGAAGCGTCCATGGGGACGATACGCCGCCGAGATTAGAGATCCCTGGAAGAAGACTCGAGTTTGGCTTGGCACCTTCGATACGGCGGAGGATGCTGCTAGAGCTTACGATGAGGCTGCTCTCTCTCTCCGGGGACCGAAGGCGAAAACGAACTTCCCGTTGCATCCATCTACTATCTCTGTTCATCAGAAAATTCCGTTCTCGCAGGAGTTTCATGATTCCGCAGGACTCTGCAAGATTAGTGACATTCCAGTCAATAGACCTACATCGAGTAGCCTGAGCTCCACCGTGGAGTCTTTTAGCGGGCCGCGGGTTTCGATTCCAGCTCCATTGGTTCCGAAAATCTGCCGGCAGTCCCTGCCGCTGGTCTCGCCCGACGATTGCCATAGCGACTGTGATTCGTCGTCCTCGGTTGTTGATGATAGTGAGGAATATGCTCACACGTCGTCAATTCGCAGAGTTTTGCCGTTCGATCTGAATCTACCTCCTCCACTGCCGCCGCTGCACGACGTCGATTTATCCGGTGATGATCTTCATGCTACTGCCCTGTGCTTTTGATAATATTCTGCTTCTCGATTACAATACCAAATGGTTCATTCTTCTCCCACGCCCTTCCGTTATCTATCTAATTTTCCTATCGATTGAGCAGAACTTAAATGGAAACTGTCTCAACATGCTTATTGAATGAGAAAATTTGCTTCTCTACTTGTTAATTTCGTAGTTCATGGTGTAGATTAGCAGCTGAATTTTACCAACCCAAGACCTCTGAATCTTGGCTGTATCTCTTTGTTGTTAAAGAAAAGGGAAGAAATCCATGGATATTGCAAGGGTTCTGCACGTTAATCTCTCCAATCCCATTCATCTTGTTCTGAAAGTGCATCTCACTTCACCATGTTCAATCAATTCAAAGGAAACAATAGCGTGATTCAGTCTTCACAGTATTAGCATTAGGATTCATGTTCATCTCTATTTGGGAATTTTACAGAAATCAAGTTTCTCTCAAACCAAACCCCCTTGGATTCTCTTGTTCTATGACATTTCTGTAGTTCCCTCATCTTTCTCTCTCACCTGATTTTTCTCCATGGGGTTATTGCTTCTCGTACACATAATTATGATATTCGTAGTCAACTTTTTTCATTTTTCTGCAAATGTTAGCTGCATTAGTTCATCATTTCATATTCAATCTTCACCATAAATCATATGCCATATTAGGCATGCTACCACTGATGGAACTGGATTCAAATACTCACAACTTTTCAGATTTCTTGAAAAAAGTATATCAGAATTCAGAAGCAAGCTGGTTTAGTGGATTTTGAGTCCAATTCAATCTGTTCTACAGATGGGGTTGCTCAGAGCTAAAGCCGCCCAAAAAGCAGGAGAATATGGTACTTTAGCTTATCGTGTTTTTGTTCACCTTTTGAATTTGGGTTGGAAAATTATTCCATGTTGACTGTTTTTTGAGCGTTTAGATTTTAATTTCTTCCCATTCTCAAAATTGCTTCTTAATTCCTCATCTTATCAATTCTGTTTTGGAAGGATTATGGTCCTTCATGACCAAAGTCTAAAGTCTAGATGGATTCATGATTATGCTTAGAAATTTATTTGACTATTATAGAATCGTTTCCATGATCACTTTTTCTTGTAATAATTAATATACTTCCGCTTCTGAAATTCAAAATTCAAATTGGATCATATTGCCTTTTATAAAGGAAGCATCTAGGGGAAGAAGTTATTATCTCTTAATATCATTATCCTTTTTAGCCAAAGAAAATATGATTTAATTTATTTATTATTATTATTATTATTATTTTGTCTCTTTTAATTAGGTTGGTTGGTCTGTAATTAAAATAGAATATTAGGTAGGTTTAAACATTTTAATCATAATTGACATATATTTCTTCATTTGAGATACAAGACCAACTTGTCAACTTTCTTGTATTGCTATTTGCTAGTTTCGATTAATTGTCTCTTTTATAGTAATTTAATATCAATAAATGTATTTTAATTATAGAGCAGATTGAACAAAATTGTGTGCGAAAAATGTGTCTTTAATTTTAAATAATTTTTATACATTTTTTAAAAACCCTCTTTCCTCAGTGGTGGTGTTCTATATATTATCATTTAGTTTTTAAAATATTTATTTTAGTGTATCCTATTCCATTTAAACTTTTTAATTAAGAATACTAATATAAATGAGTTGAGTTATACTCAATATTATATATATTTAACTTTATACTAATATATAACATATAGTACAAGCTTATTCTATTTGATACATAGAAGTATGCTAGAAGGGAAAGTTCATACTATGCTAGAGGGGTGGTCATGAGAATAACAAAATGTTTTGAAAACTTATTCAAACAATAGAATTATTTTGTTAAACGATAGACAACATATCTTGAAAAGTTTCATAAAACTTTATGGATCAAATACAACTTTTCAAAAGAAAAGTTTCTACCGTTTGAACAAATTCATCCTTTTGTGTGAACAAGTTTCAAAACCTCCAAAATTTTAAATTTGATAAACAAGGTAATTAAAGAAACTGTGAAAGTACGCTCTTGACCACATACCCAGAGACGATTTGGTTGGTTTTTTGAGTTGGATGAAATGAGTCCCAAAATATGTACTTGTTTGCATCTGTGCAAGTGAATAAGCTGTTCCGATTGCAAGCATAGCCCATCTCAAATATCCCCGTTGCACAGCATGCTGTCGATGTCACATCAAAACCTATCATGAAGAAAGAAAATTTGATAATTTAAGAACAAACCATTTTTTGCTCGTAACCTATCAATTTAAGTTTATTACCGTAAAGAGAGGGCTTTTTGATCGCTTGCAAGAGAACGTCATACGGGTTCGAAAACACCAACTCGATGTCGGGAAGGTCCTTGTTGAGTTTCACAGTCAAAGCCTCGAGTTTCTTGTTGAAATCCACAGCCAGATTGTTGTAACTCTCCATACAGTCATTGCTTCCAAAAACGTTTCTTGTTCTCTCCAACGGCAAGCACCCCATCGGCGGTAGCCCGCCGAGGGAGATTTTCCGAGCGCCGAGGCCGTGGAGCTTCTCAATAAACCCACCCGCGATTCCGATGAGAAAGTCCTGGTACTGTTGAATGTTGTATTGGGATGAACGGCCTGGCATTGTGTAGTAATTCTCCAAGAAATCATTGGTTCCTAAGCTCATCACATATAGAGCTTCTTTTATTGTTTCGTTTGCTGTGGCTGAGCCTTGATATGCTATCAGCTTTGCTTGATACTCCTTGTAGTACTCAAGTTGCTTCCATAATGGTATCACAGACTGCATACGATGTATCGTTAATCTTTCGGTTGACATGTCTAAGTATTGTCTTTTCAGATTTAATTCAGACAAATATCTCAATCATTGTCACGTCATGTTAGATCGGTGTTACATAGCAATATTTAAGAAGAACAAAAATATTTCGAGTCCAAAATTACCAAAACGTCAGAAGTGGCATTGTCATAGCCAGTTCCAGCCGAAGCAAAAGTGACACCAGAGGCAAAATCCGAGATGTTATAAGCAGGATCCAAGTAAGCGGGCACCGTCGGCTTCAGCCCGAAAGCCTCAGAAATGAAGTCGGTCGGAATTCTCCCATTGGAAAATCTTCCGGTTGCCTTCCCACCAACAAAATCCCGACCATACGGCAAGAAGTTACTTCTTGCAATGGTGGGAATGAAGTTGTTATTTCCAGCATCAACCGAGGAGTCACCGAAGACGATGATCGCCGAAACCTTTGCTTCGGTTATCGTCCTCGGAGACGAAAGGAGGAGGGAGACAATAAGAAGAAGACATAAGAAAGCCATGTGAGGCATAACTTCGGTTGTGATTCTTGGTGGATCAAAAAGCAGGGTGTTGTTGAAAGAGAAGAGGAGAGCTATGGGGTGAATAAATATTGTTGTTGGGTTTGGAGGGGAAATAAATGAGAGATTGAACTCAAACTATTAAGTGTGGAGAAGTTGTTGGGGGAAGTTTTAATTTTTTGCTAACAAACATTAAATGGAAACCATACTCAACCTAACCACGGCTCGGTTCGGTTCCTCGAGTTACACTGTATGTTTAGCTTATAAATTAGGGTTTTCAAACAAAATTTTAATTCGGTTTAGTATCGAGTAGGTTTGTTTGTGTTTTAAGAAGTTGAATATTTAGATTGATATTGGACAAGACTATTAAAACGATGATCGTTAACATTGGAGGATAACCATTTCAGAAGTTTTATCCGGTGATGCTTAGGGCCTCTATGACATCGTTAGAAAACTTAAATCAAGTGTCCTTTTTCAAATCTCCGACCAAAACCAAAAAGACAACAATCTCGAATTTTAAGGACAAAATCTTTTTATTATTGTACCAAGATGGGTGAGTCATTATTAACTTTAAATCATAAGATTCATCGATTCAAACTTGTTGATGTAGTTGAATAAGCTTATAGTCATATCGACGTTCTTATGTACACCGAGCATTTGTAACGATCCAGATCCACTGCTAACAAATATTGTCCTCTTTGGGCTTTCCCTTTCGGGTTGCTAGGGGAATTTCCACACCCTTATAAATGGTGGTTTGTTTTCCTCCCCAACCAATGTGGGACATCACAATCCACCCCCTTCGGGGCCCAACGTCCTTGCAGGCACACAGCGAGAAGGGCTGGCACATCGTCCGGTGTTTAGCTCTGATACCATTACAATGCTACAAACATTGTTTTTTTCGACAAAAACAATTATTTTGTTACCTAAATTTGTATGGTCAATTAGTTGGCTCGTGGCATTAATTGCAACGTGTAATTAAATTAAAACATTTTTTTTAAAGTGTTGAAATTAAAACTGATAAAGAGAGATCACCAAAAAATAAAAAATAAAAAATAAAATTGTAGGAAAATGATGATTTAATGAAGTAGGCACATTTTAACTCTCCTTCCCAACTACCTCAGCCTCAGACGACACGTCGTAATGAACAAAAGAGGAAATGTGGGGGGTTAATTTATTGATGTGGTTGGATTGGAACCGCCCATGAAAACGACAATATCATGAGTGTCGGATGTGAACAGAAAAGGAGGTGGAGATGGGCTTCCTTTATTACGCCCTCTTTATACCACATACTATACTATATATTCATTTATATTTTATATATAAAAAAAATTATCTGTATTTACGTATACATAAATATTTTTTAAAATAAGATTAAAATACATTTTTATTAATTTATTAATAAATAAAACTAGTAAATGGGCCTTGGGGAATATCCCGTAGGGGCCATTGGGCCTGGATATTCCCCAACGTTTAGGACAGGGGGCCTTTTTGGAGGGATCGTAGCTTTTATTATTGGCCTACAATTTACGGCCATTTAATTTAATGAGTGTTCTATTATTATTCAATTTTTTGGAATATTTTTAAAAACTCAATTAAATGCAAATTAGCTTCAAATATTTTCCTAAAATTTTATACTATTTTTTAAATTTATAACAATTCTAAAGTTATGATTTGAGTCGAAAAGAATATGTAGTGCATTGTGAGTAGAACTTACGACGATGTCGGAGTGGAGGCGAAATCAGGTATGAAGTTAGGCGGAGCTTGGCCATGAGATAACCTTCCGGTGGGTCGTCGGGCGGGGAAGTCACGTGCATAGGGCTTAGAGTCCACAAACGAGTCTCCAACGACAATAAGGGGTGGAAGGTTAGAGCTCCAACTTTGGCTGCCAGTGTGAAGATTGAGAAGAAGAATAAGGAGATCTATAAGAGAGAGAGCTATGCATTTTGGTGGGAATTTAATGAACATTTCGATGGGGTTGGTCCAACAAATCTTCTTGCAAAATTAAAACAAATACTAACTTTATATTAATTTTGAATTTAAACTAAGAATAGGAGCTAACGGTGGTCGGGACGAGATTATATTTCTTGTTCGTCCTCAACCTAGCTCCACTCAAATCTCCGACCTATAGAGCTGAAAGAGATTTCTCCCCATTAGTTAAATGGGGTTGGGACGAGATTATATTTCGATTATATTTCTCGTCCTCGTCCTCATCCTATCTCCACTCAAATTTGGAAGAGATTTCTAGCCATTAGCTAAATGGGGTTGGAATGAGATTCATCCCCGTCCTCATCCTATCTCCACTCAAATTTAAAAGAGGACTAGCCATTAGCTAAATGGGGTTGGGATGAGATTCATCCCCATTCTCATCCTATCTCCACTCAGATCTCCGACCCATAGAGCTCAGCCTCGTCCCACTCAAAGCTCCGATACTCACTCAAATCTCCGATTCATAGAGCAGGAAGGGAGTTGTTTTTGTCTCCGGCCTCAGCCCGACCACCCCCACTCAAATCTCCATTCTAGTTCCTCCAATAATCTAGGAAGGAGTTGCCTAAAAAACAAACTCTACCTAAAAATGAGAGTAAATGGGTCGAATTTTAAGCCTAAAGACCACTTCTTAAACACACCCATAATAGCAAATCAATGAAATAAGAGAAATTAGAAGAAAAAATAAAAGAACCAAGTGTTTATAAATCTCATCTCCTACTTGAAATCCCCATCTTAAAACCCATTCAACACCAAAAACGGGGGAAAAAATGATGATGGGAATTTCGAAAGGGCTGTCATTTATGTGCCTCCTCGCCATCTTCATTTCCTTACTATTCATCAAACTCGCCCACGCCGATCCCCACCACTTCGGCATCCACGCCATCGGCCACGCCGTCGAACCATTCTGTCCGGGGGGCTACTCCGACAGAGGGGACCACTGCAACCACATCGGCCGCATCACCTCCGTGAACTACGGCGAGGATGACGACGACGACGATTTTGACGACACGTACAAAGTATTGGGCAAGCTTTCGATGGCGATGTCGGTGTCGGAGTCGACGGAGGACGCTGAAAAAGAGGCGGTGGGCTTAGAGCTTGAAGGCATTTCACCTGAAGAACAGTTATCCGATAAAGTCACTGTCTTGGGGCATTGATTTATTATTGTTTAAACTTCATTAATCATTTCCATAATTACCTTCCTTTTTATTTACTTTTAATGCCATGTATGATTTATTATTGGTACAAAGGTTGCAACTTTATGACCCGAATTATTTGGACTCTGCCTATATAAATCTTTGTTCTTGTTACAAGAAAATAAAAGTCCTTATTAAATTTTATTATGTCTCGACTATGCTCTTAAATAGATGCTAGCAATTATCGCTCGCTTGCTAGCAATTATCGCTCTGCACGGCTACCTAGCGTTTACCTTGAACCCTTAATCACGGCGAGGGGATTGTGTTCTGCAAGAAAATTTTGAAGTTTGTGATAAAAATGGAAGCTTTAGACCAATGAATGAAAAGTCAAAAGAAAAACAGTCCCAAACATGGCACAATAAAAGTAGGGAAGGCGTGCAAAGCTTTAGGGGAGAAAGACGACATTGCGTGTATGGCTGCAAATGAAAGAACAATCTCAGAGAACAGAACAGAGCATAAACGAACAAAACGAGTTGAGTTGAGCTGAACTGAACTTAGAGTGGCAAAAGAAATTGATGTCTGTAGATTCTGATAAAGTACTTCAAACAACAGTTGCGAGTCAAACGAATAACATTGAAACGTACCCATCATAGCAAAAAGACAACAACAAAACAATCACCTGAAATGAAAGGGAAACAGAGAGAGACAGAGAATAGATAAAGCTGCTGATATAATTATGACATCGTATATGATTAGTAATGAGTCGACAATATCTCACTGTACTTGCACGTACAAACCCATTATACAAACCCAAAGTTTCCCACTTTTCTTTTCTTCACTCCTCAAATTCAGTAAGGCTCAGCTCAACTCACAACACAAACTTGTTTTGCAGTTTTTTTGTTCTTTTTTTAAAAGAAAAACCTAAAAGGATGGATCTTGCAAAACTACTAAGATGGTTTGATTTGAGAGTTTTAAGCATTACCCATTTGGATGTGGCTGCTGGTTGATCTGTGGATTAGCGGCGAAACTGTTTTGAGTCTGCCCAGCACCGAATGTAAACTCGTGGGACGGTACATCTACGGTTGGGCGGGTAAAGATCGAAGTTGCAGCAATGGTGTTGAATGGTGTTGTAGGAACTGGGTCGCTGGTCTTTGGGAAGTTGAAGCCAAAAGAAGGCAGACCAACAGGAGGGAAGACTGGAAGGGTGTTTTGGGATGATCCAAAAACCTTCTGCTCATACTCTTGCAGCTGCTGATAGATAGCTATTTTAACACACCAAAAATGTTACTCAGACTATATTCTTTGCTGATAAAAACATTTCCAAATAGAACAGACAACATTAGAATGCAAAGCTAACGTCGAAGCTGAATTATAAAGCCCGAACCCACCACTAGCAGATATTGTCATTTTTGGGCTTTCCTTCCAGGCTTGCCCTCAAAGTTTTTAAAACGCGTATGCTAGGGAGAGGTTTTCACACCCTTGTAAGGAATGCTTCGTTCATCTCTCCAACCAATGTGGGATCTCATAATCCACCCCCCTTGGGGTTCCAGCGTCATCGCTGGCACACCGCTCGGTGTCTGACTCTGATACCATTTGTAACGGCTCAAGCCTACCTCTAACAGATATTGTCTTTTTTGGGCTTTCCCTGAAGGTTTTAAAACGCATCTATTAGGGAGAGGTTTTCACACCCTTGTAAGGAATGCTTCGTTCATCTTTCTAACAAACGTGGGATCCCACAAAATAACACAAGCAGATGCAGTGCAGGCCCCTGTGATAAACAAACCTAAAGAAATAGCTATACAATTTCAATCCATTTGGTGAAGTATATATATATATATATATATATATATATATATTCACGAAAAATGTGCACTTCATAGTTAGTAGTAGTGTAGGGGTAACAGCTCAAGCCTACCGCAAGCAGATATTGTCTTCTTTGGCCCGTTACGTATCGTCGTCAGCCTCACGGTTTTAAAATGGATCTGTTAGGGAGAGGTTTCCACACCCTTATAAGAATGTTTCGTTCTCCTCTCCAACCGACGTGGGATCTCATAGAAATACTGTATTTTCTTATTTGAAAAGCAGACCAAGGAATGGATAATGTGTCGTAGACATACGTTCAGTTAAGTCGACGGATGGCCTCCGCTCTTTAACCCA